GACTAATTCTTAAATTGAATGTCTCAGAGAGACCATTTTACTGGTAGGGAAAAGAAACATAAAAACTTAAAACTAACATTCAAGGAGTCTCTGAGTGAAGCTTCAGTTTTTGGTAAGAGAATATAAGTTGTAAAAATACACAAGGTGTATTTGCAGAATAATTTTTGATTATCTGTATTGAGTGATTCTTTTAAATAGTTTTGTTTTTAATCTTTTTTTGGGTGAGTACCAGAAATCAAACTCAGGACCTTGCACTTGTGAGGAAGGTAGTGGCACCACTAAGCTAAATTTCTGGCCCTATACTTGCGTTTTTAAAAAACCTGCTCATGACTTCATCAAATTGAACAAATGATTAATGTTTCCTAATATCTAAGTAAATATTTTAACAATAGTTTAATATTATGAGGTAACACTGTAAAAACCATAGTATGACAGAGCATAAATTCCTGTGTTTTGGGATCATACTAATTTTAAACACTTTCAGGAAAAAATATCTGTTTTGTCCATAATTGGGATGATGATTAAGATGGTTGATTGCTTCAGAAATAAAAAATGTTGTCTGATGAGATTTTAGTTGGGGGAAATAATGGTTTGATAAAGGAAACAAACTAGGATTATGGAAGGAGGTTGGATATCAGGTACCCAAACAGTGAAATGGAAATAATTAGTTCCAGTTTTCTACAGTACAGTGGAGTGAATATAGTATACAATAATTTATTATATATTTTATAAGAATTTGAAGAGAAGAGTTTAAAGGTTTGTAAGACATGCACACAAAAATAATAAATGTTTATAGAAATGGAAATGCTAATTAAGCCTGATTTTACCTTTACACATTGTAAACATGTATTAGATCTTCACATTGTCTCCCATTAATACATATAATTATGTGTTAATAGAATATTTTTAAAAATCAAAACACAAGGTTGAGTCTATTCCTTACTAATGGTCATTTAAATTAAAATGTCTACCTGATACAGTTCATTACAATACAGTAGTGAACTAGTAAAATAATTTCATAAGTAAAAGCTTATTGTCCATAACTGTAAAGAATTTGCTAGCTAATAATTTGTTGTCTATAGTTTCCCAGATACAGTACTAGAAGAAGGCAAGAAATTTTTGGGTCAGAGACCCAGGACTTTTTTACACAGAGCAATAGTCTTAGGCATAGCATCATCATTCTCTTCTGCCGACTGCCTATTCACCATTTCCCATAAGATGATGCAAAGAGGCACCAGGTCAGGTAGTGGGGTTCATGGTAGAGAAGTCTTGCATGTAGGGAACCCATGTCTTCTACAGTAACCATGCTTTTTTTTTTTTTTTTTTTTTTTTTTTTGGTACTGGGGATTGAACTCGGGTCCTTACAGTTTCAAGGCAGGCCACCGAACCACTGAGCTGAATCCCCTGCCCCCATGCTCACTTTTTGATCCAGAGGTTTATCTTTCAAGACTGTTCAAAATAAAGGGGAACCATCCCTAATCCGAAATTTGAAATGCTCCAAAATCTAAAACTTTCTGAGCACCAAGATGATGCCACAGGTGGAAAATTACACACCATTAAACTTTGAATTATTAATGATATTGTATAAACTTACCTTTGAGTCACATATAAAATGTGTATAAGAAACATCAGTGAATTTTATGCTTAGGCTGACACCTCATTGTACCTGCAAATACTCCAAAATCCACAAAAATCCCAAATCCAAAGCATTTCCAGCCCTAATCATTCCAGATAAAGAATACTTAACCTTACAAACATTCTTGAAAAGTTGCCTTTGTTCCACTAAAGCACTAAAGCAGAAATAGAGACTAGTGAATAATTGCCTGCAATTGTTTCCTAATATTAAATCACTAGTAGCTGATATAGAGAATATATATGAATAAGATTTATCCTACTTTTAAAGTCACTTATAATGTATAGTTCGTATTTTTCACATCATATAGCATATACTATATGACTTTACTTGTCTAGGCCTATTCATTTTTAAATGAAAATAGTAATAGTGCCTAAATTACAGGGATGTTAATGGAATTAGATGAGATAATACATATAATACACTTTTAAAAGTATCTGGTATACAGCACATAAACAGCAATATTTATTAACATTATCCCTCAAAATTCATGTAGACAGCTGACTGAATGAAGAGAAAGCCCTTCTCAACAGCACTGCAAGATGCCAACGACACACCTACCATTCATGACTGTTTCTCTGATTCTGCAGCTGACCTAAATATCTCCACTACTTGATTATCCCGGGGTGCTGGGCAGCTTAACTGGGCTGGGTCACACAGTGGCACTGTGCAAGTGACAGCTTTATGGGCAAGCATGGCACCTAATGAGGCAGGGCTGCCCCTGAAAAGCTTTAGGGCAAACTTGCCTGAGAATCTCACATTGAACTGTTCCAACGTCATGTCTGCTCTATGGTCCTCACGAATACAGGAAGCCAAACTGTAACCACTTCTAAAAGAGGTTTTAAAAAAATGGCCTCTTCTGCTTTCAAAAGGCAATGTTTGGAGGTCATACTACAAAGGCAAGTAAACTGAATATGTTTAATTTCACTAAGATAAGTATTTCCAACCACGTATTATTATTATTATTCAGAAAAATCAAATACTATTCAGATTTTCCATTTCTGTTAACTCCAGGCAGAACAGAGTGAGAGAACGGATGGAGGTTGGTGGCTAGAGGTCCTATATAGTTCAGTCCGTGGTGTCCTAATTTACTTAGAATAAGTTAACTAGTTTTGATTTTGGCACGTCCAACCACCTCTAGTAGATACAACATTTGTTTACCATTAGTAACGCACAGGAGCTTTCAGTTACATCCCCAATTTCCCTTGGATTTCTCCCTAAAAGTCACCAGGGTATCTGAGGGACATGTTATTTAATGAAACGCAAGGGGGCTGGTCTTGTTCCTAAACTTTCAGCTGATTGGAAAGGAGAGTTTACTATTGAGTCACAGAATCATTGTCCATTTGTATTAGCAATCGTTTGTCTAAACCCTTTAGAAAATCGAAGTCTAGAATGCGTTAAGTTCCTATGTTTAATTAGGAGCTGCTGAAACCAAATGTCATATTCTTATGTTCAGTCAACTTTTCTTTTCATTACTGTTCACCTAGCAAGCAGGGATGAGAAATAAGAAATTGCTATGGCTTTCTTGAGAGGTATTGCTGAGGATGAAAGTTTGGGCTCTGCAGTCAGACCCTCTGGTTTTACGATGAAAGTATGTTTTATAGAGAAATAATACCTACTTTGCAGGGTAAGAACTAAGGATAGTAAGGCAGTTAGTGAATTTAGTTTTACACTTGCTAACTCAATCACTGCAGATATTCTGAGTGGAAAACTGCAAAACAAAAGGCAGAAAAAATATAATTTGGAAGAAAGAAATTAAATGAACTATTGGGAAAACACAATGAAAAACTACCCAGCCTTTCATTTTTAAAAAGAAAATGTTTATTCCTTTCAAAAAATTTTAGTTATCTGACTCTACTTTTGATAAAAGGAAGAAAAATTAAAGTCAGGTGATATTTTATATACAGGTTAATTAGTCACTTCTGTAGTAATGACTGTTTAAAGTAAAACGAGCATTTACTACATCTCAAATTGTAAATATTTACATTTGACTTTGTCACTATTTACTTAAATGTAAAAACAAAACAAACCAAAATCCCTGCATTTCTCTAATGCTTGAATTATCTGATGTATGCTAAGTCAAAGAGGTAGGGGAAAAGAATTCCTTACATAGTTCTTTCTGTGAGAAAAAAAAAATGTACCAAGTCATCCAGGAAGCAAAGCCTATCACTAATGCCTATGCTATAAATAATTTGCCTACCTGGGACTTCAGCACAGGAAAACTAAGATGTGTAGAAGATTTTGGCCTTGACAACATTACTACAGCAGTGAGCAATAGAGTCTGACCCTCAGTTACTTACTGGATCTTTGGTGGAAGTTAGTGATGAATGCCAAAAAGTAACTCAGTAAAAGTGCTGTGGGGGAAGTTAGGGATGATGTTTTCAAATGACAGCTTTCTAAGGTCTGTCTTGGCTTGTTTTGAGAGTGAGAATCAAACCCCATTTTCCAACCTGTTAGAAGTTTATAGATAAATGTTGAAGAGTCTGGAAATCTATAACAATTAGACATCAATTAATAGCTCACCTAATGATTTTGAGGGAGTTAAACTTTAATCTTCAAAAATTTTCTGACCTATGAGAATCTGATCTTGTAATAAGCATATTGTCATACAAACTCCTCAGCCAAATTTTAAGGAAGAAGAAAAAAATTATACTGCTAATTTTCTGGCCTTCAGTGGGTCTCAGGACATATGTTGAAAGTAACAGTTCAACTAAATGAGCAATTAAATTAGTAACTTGACTGTTGATCAGTGTCGGATCAACCACTGGCACAACTGGTAATCCCTAAAAGAACTTCCCCTAAATGATCACCTTGTCCAAGTTTTGAGACATCATTAGGACCTTATCTATAATGACCATATTGCCTTCTTCCATAATGAGGTAAGGATTTTCTCTCTGCAGGGAAATTTAGGCATCAAGTTTTCTTTCATTTCAAAATCTTTAGTGTCTGAAGTTCTGACAGATTCCTTCTTGACATCCTGAGATAGTTTGAAGAAAAAAATAAACGGGGGAAAGTTGCCTCCCAGCTCGTGTGCATGTATTCAAGACATATTGTACATCTCTAAATTAAGTTGCAACAGAAACAGTATTGACACTTTGGGAAGTTGCAGAATTGCCTGAGTGTGTGCCTGTACAGATAACCCAAACAATTGCTTCTGTTGTCCCAGGATGGCGCTGCCCCACTGGTGTCTGCTGTGGCTGCTGTTACCCCTTGCTTGCCTCCCAGCTCGTGTGCATGTATTCAAGACATATTGTACATCTCTAAATTAAGTTGCAACAGAAACAGTATTGACACTTTGGGAAGTTGCAGAATTGCCTGAGTGTGTGCCTGTACAGATAACCCAAACAATTGCTTCTGTTGTCCCAGGATGGCGCTGCCCCACTGGTGTCTGCTGTGGCTGCTGTTACCCCTTGCTTCAAGGACCCAGAAGCTGCCCACTCGTGATGAGGAGCTTTTCCAGATGCAGATCCGAGACAAGGCATTTTTTCATGACTCCTCCATCATTCCAGATGGAGCCGAAATTAGCAGTTATCTCTTCAGAGATACACCAAAAAGGTATTCTTCCTGCCATACTTTCTGTATCGTTGAGCTCATAAAGGGTGCCTTCTTCAAAGAAAGTAATTTTTCATACGTAATTTAGTTTAGCAGCACTACCTCTTTTCGCTAAGTGGCAGTGCAACTTTTTATCATAATTGAGACTGATTCTTATTGATTATGATTTCCTTTTGAGTGGAAAAGGCAGTTTTATGTGTTGTTTATGTTCTGGAATGATTATTCCTCATCTTCAGTATAGTAGGATTTTTCTAAGAAGAGCTCTATAGGATTGAAACAAAATTAATTGAATATATATGATTCTTCAAGGATGTGCATTAAGTTTTATGAGGATAATATTTCCTTAACAAATATGATCAGATTCTAAACAATCAAACCAATGATAAAAACTGACTGTGTTCATTTTCTTAACTCCAACATCAGCATTTAGTCTCACATTTCCAAATATTTTTAGAATATATCATATAAATAACATATGCATAAAACCCAACATATGGTGTAAACTAGTTATTTATACAGTTACTTTCCAGTGCTCTAACCCTTTCTACCTTTCATATTTAATCTCTGGATAATTTTATTTCAAAAACAATTTCTCCTTTTAACTAGAGAGAGACACATTAGTATTCCAAGAAATAAAATTGTCTTGCATCTTTAATACCTTTTCCCAAGACTGAGTTATATCAGCTCCTTGGGTCATCTTTGGAGTTAGAGCAATAGTAATAAGGGGAGGTGGAGCTGTAAACCTCTGCACTTAATGTCCAATTGTTATCACCACGTGGACAGTCAGGATGAGCTGGGTGCTCAGTTTCCCTATCTGACAAAAGTGAAGTAGTATGTGGGAATCATTTCATCAGTGTCTGAGTGAAATGATTTGTTTGAAAGAAAACACTAAACTAAGAACTGACTTGAAATATAAATCATTTTAATCTTTAACATTCATACAAATAAAGGCAAGAAGTGAAAAGATGGTTACATTAAATGAATTTGCTGTCTTGGTCTTCAGAAAGGCTCAGTCTGTCAAACAGGGAAGGACATACGAAGCAGTTCCAGTACTGCAAATTAATCTTTAATGCTAACTGAATCCTCACTGAACAGTTTGCTTTCCATATTGTTTCCGTATTGTTTTGTCCCTTGAAATTTTTGAGTACATTGGATCAAACAACTTTTCTTTAGGAATCACCTTTATTTCCCCAAACATTATCACACATTGCTTTCTTTGCTACATTCATTAAATACTGCATTCTATATTATATAAGTGAATCAATCAAATAAACAGTTTATCCTCTTGGGTCAGTCCGTTTTTTAAAAAACTAAATGTTTTTGCCCTAAAAATAGTGTTCAAAATTACATTTTGCTTTTTGCTTTGAAACAATGTTTATCATGAGCTATTACAAAATATTACTTCCCTCTCTTCCTTCTTGTCTTTTATTTGTTTAGTCTTTCTTTTTGGCTTTTTTGCCCAAAATAATTATGGGAGCCCTTCATATCCACAGTTGTGTGAAGTGCATGTTTACCCTAGCTAAAAGCTGCAGCCACAAGTAGAAACATCGTTGGGGGTCGGAGGGTTACACAATGGCAAACACACATAATCATTGTTGATATTCCAGCCAGCCATGAAATTTCAGATGCAGTTTAGCAGTGGTGAACAGAAAAAGACAACACATTCATTAATTGTTCTTATGTTTATACATAAATTCCAAGAACTAAATGTCTCGTGGTATGTTTATCCCTCCGTTTTTGGCCCTGGAAAGTAAGTATCTGAACACAGATCAAACCCTGTCATCTCTGATTCCTGGGTTTTTCCATATGCACTGTGAGCATGGTAGATGATAAATGCCTGCCAAATTGTTAAGTTTATTCACATTATCATTTGTCCTTCCTTGTTAAGTGTTTCAATATGGAAATCCTGGCCTATATGCAGTTGGCAAATCTAGGGCACGTGTACTTCAGCTGGCTGTTTGGTGTCACCAAAGGCTCTAAAAAGTTTGTCATCCTGACACCTATAGGAATTCTCTATTCCATTATATGTGCAGGGATTATCTTGTGGAATGCAAGTATTGTTGTATTTGCTATCAGTTGCCTATGGCCTGTCTCTAAATTACTGAGACACAGTTGCTTACTCGAGATAAACTACCTACTTGCTCAAAAGGGAAGGTCATAGATGAACTTGCCCATTATTTTCTACTTTGGAGTCAGTTTCATATGCTACTCACATAATCCCAGAACAGATAAGAAGTTTTGAACACTATTTCACCTACATAAAGCCAAATAAAATATTTTACTGTACCTCTTTCTTTGTCGTAGAGATAGGCTTAGTTGTGTTTATGTGATTAAAATCTCCCATTCAGCCTGGCCAAAGGAACAAAATTTTGCTCTCTCCAAATCATGCTGAATTAAGAGGTAAGCCTCTGACACTTCTCTTTAAGGGTGGTTAAGGTACACAAAACTGAAATAAACAACTCCCCGATTTAGTTATTTCAAGATGCTTTTCTACTATTTTACGAGTAGTTGTCTTGTTTTTCTGGGCTCTTCAGTGTATCCGTCTTCCCCATCCCACTCTCAACCCTCCATCTCTCTGTTCATCAGCTGTGAGGAGGAAACCTTAAAGTTTCACAGACATTCTGTCTCTTCAGACAGAAAGAGATTGCGGATGTACATATCCTCAGGCTACACTGATGAGATTGGTATTAAGATGCTTGACTTTAGTTTATGACCTCAGTCATTCATGCACCCAAATATGTCTACCTAGAACCTGCTACGTGGAGAAATCTGCACTAAATGCGGGGAATACACTGACATGGATGAGCTCCAGGTGGGCCCTTGGGGAAAATGACATAAAAAAGATCATGCAAATGTATAGCCACGGTGTATATTGTAGTAAGAGGCAGAAGTTAAAGTTGCAGGACTCTCTGAGAGTATATGAGGCCCTGATCAGAGTGAGTCAATAAAAGCGTCTCTGAAAAAATGACCCTTATATATATATCAGTCGGGGCAGAGTGGTGAACTTCAGATGGAGCAAACCACCTCCACGTCCCAAAGGCTGACGATGAGATTTGGAAAGCCAGAGAAGTCCTCTGTGATTGAAGTACAGAGAGCTAAAGGGGTAGTGAGTGACCTGGCAAGAGACTGGGGCAATAGGTAAGATCAGACCACTGAGGAATAATTATGGATTTTCCCTCAGACCTAAAAATCTAAAGCTGAGAAGGAGCTCTTAGCTGAAATCGTACGCTGTATTTACTTTTTAAAGAGATTGTTCTGGCACAAGAATGATTTGGAAATAGTAAAATATTTGGAGGTAGATATATAAGAAATAGAAATTCATTAATTCATTCAACAAATATTTTATGAAGAAGTCTTTCACTCTCTGAGTCTGCCCCAATGAAACCAGTGTCTTGACTGCTTACAGCTTTCATTCTAGTTTGGGGAGATGGAAAAAATAATGAAAGAAATATATCATAAGTATACAAGTGTAGTGAAGAAAAATGGGATAAAGAAGACCTTCATGGTAGGAAAGTGGTATTTAACAAAAGGGGGAAAGTGGATCATGGCAAGATTACACTTAAATCATGAGCTGAAGGAAGCCTAGCCACTTCCTGGAGGAGAAGTCTCTCAGGTAGAAGAAAAACAAGCACAGAGATTGTGATGCAGGGGTTTGTAAGAAACTGGTTGAAGGAGAAAGAAAGTAAAAGAAGACTTTGGAGATTTTGTTGGAGGCTATATGTGAAGGAACTTGTGAAAGATTGCAAATATGAGCCATCTTCCAAATGAATCAGATACTCTGGAGGGCTTGAACAAAAAGGAGTGCTATTTGGAAGGTATGCAAGGGTCACTCTGCCCAAATGGGGAGGGGTTCACAAAGGGGCTACTAGTGGAGCCAGGGAGATCAGTCCAGGGAACTTTGCAAGCTTCAGTCAAGAAAGAAGGGAGGCTTGGATCAGGCAGGTGCAAACAGCTAAGTTAGAACAAAGTGATAGGTTTTAATATATTTTAAAAGTGGATAAAACAAGTGTCTTCTGATCTGTTCCATATGGAATGGGGCAGGGAGAAAGTGAAGAATGACTCCAAAATATTTGTCCTGAATAACCAGAATGTTGGAGCAGTTATTTACTGAGAAGGGAGGGGCTGCAGGAAAAGCTGATTTGGGGGAGATAATCAGAAATTTGGATTAGACATCTTAAGTTTGAAATTCCGTTAATTCTTAGCGAAGATGGTGAGAAGGTGGCTGTATCTGAAAGAAGGCAAGAGTCCAGGTTGATGATTTAAATCTGAGATTTAACATAGAAGTTGTAAATCTATGAGTTTGGGGAGGGGTCACACAGAAAATAAAGGCAGGCAGAAGAGAGACGCCCATGATCAGACCTGAAGTTAACTACAGAGCTTAGAGGTTGGGGGTTAGAGGGAATCAGCAGAGGAGGAGAGGGGTCAGTTTGGAAAGCAGTTAGAGGTGGAGGTAGAAAAGGGGAGGCAAGAGACCCCACTTATAAGTGTATAGGATGTCAAACCTGCTTTTCTTTGCCACAGAATCAGAGCAGAACTCTGGGCTCCAAGCACTGACACCACTGGCTGCTGCTTGCACGAGTATGGGCTTTAAAAGATAATTGTGTGAAATCATCTCAGTTACTTGGAGTAAGAATACACCACATCTGTATAGTTCAACAATATTTTTATTTTCCTTAAAACTGTTTTGAGGCATCATTAAAAAGTCTGAGGAATAGGCAAGGCAAGAAATTAAAAGGAGAAGGTGAAAAAGTAAAAAGAGTCAACAAAAGGCCAATAACAAGTCAGTACATACCAGTTATAACCAGCAATATCAATGGCCTCAACTCACCAATCAAGAAAAATAGACTGGCAAAATGGAATAAGAAGCAAAATCCAACAATATGTTGTATACAAGAAACACACCTAGTGCAAAAAGAAGCCCATAGACTGAAAGTGAAAAGATAGAAAACAATTCTCCATGTGACAGGAGCCCAGAAAAAAACAGGGGTAGCAATCTTATTTGCAGACAAAGTAAATTTCAAACCAAAACTGATTCTAGTATTATTGATGTAGGACGGTACTGTATCATACTTCTATGAATGTAAAATATCTTGTACCTGCTTTATGATACATAGTAGGGACTGTGATTTATCAGAGCTTCATTTAATGATATTACTCTAGAATGTTCTCTTTCCAGACGATTAAGATGCTAATAACAAAAAAATGGTGCCAGGTACAACAACAGCAACAGAACTTTGCTGTTTTCTGGATATTATTCTTTTCTTTGTTTTGTTTTTTTTTAATGGAATGTGCTAAATAAATGTCTATAATTTTGTTCAGATGACTGCAGAACCTAGAAAAGCTGTTGCTGCTATCGATGTATATATATATTGAATTTTGGGAAACTTTAACGGTGCTGTCAACTTTGGAAAGTCATCCCAACTTACTGAGTTGAGTTGGCATTGTACAGAAATGGACAGCCATATTGTTCTAGAAATGTTAATTTTTTAATTTTTATTTTTACTTTTTTTTCCATGCGTACAGGGGTAATGCATCGTACTAAATATGTAAGGTCATATCTACATGGGTGTGATTACAGAAACTAATAAAGTATTCTCTAAATAATGAAAAAAAATAAGATAAGACTATAAGAGCAAGAAGCAATTTAAATATGTTCAGGGACCATTTTCATCTCCAGAATTAAGGATTATTTTTAATGTTACATCATTGCCTTTTCTCTTTTACTTTCCTTTTTAGTTTTATTTTAGGATTCCCTATTTTTAATGTTCATACAGAGATTTCTTTAACTGAAATACCAAATAGTTTCTTTGGTGTGAAAAACTATAATAGTACACAGGATCCTAATGAGATAATTAATAATGTGAAATAGGAAGTAAAGGGCTAAAGGTGTAGGGAAAGTGGGAAGGGTGGGGGAAAGGTAATAAGGGAGAGGAAAAAAATATGAGAAACTGAAAAAATGGAAATAAAGTGTTTGTAGATGGGGAGGGGAGGAGGGGGTGAAGGGAGGGCAGGGATAAGCGGAAAAATGAGAATCAAAGGATATGGAATAGTAAATATGAGTAAAAATCATTAATGTGATAATGTGAAGACTATGTTATCATGCCAGAAATCAATATACATTTCAGAACTACGTTGCTATGAAAATTACCTTTTGAAATAGTGGACAACTCGAGAGTAATATACAAACATCACCAAATTTATAGAAAACACAATGACTGTAAGGCAGCATACCCAGACATTCTTCTTGATTTTGGCTCACTTTGCAATGGCAGGGCCTATGTTAAATAATACTTAGGCAAATGTATGGAATGATTTTTCACCCCAAATCCTTTCGGTTCAAGTCTTTTTACTATTTATACCTTACTTGTTAATGCTAAATCTGGTTGCAGAACCTTGGGACTATTGGACTTCCACAGTTAAAGGTGTATTGTATCTTGTGCAAAGTAGCTGATTTTATTTGGTTAAAGAAATAAATATGAAAACCAAACAGTTTTTCCAGTAAATCTTAATTGCTAATGATAGAATGACCGTGGCCTGAATTGGTGCACTTTCCTACAGATATTTCTTTGTGGTTGAAGAAGACAATACCCCATTGTCAGTCACAGTGACTCCCTGCGATGCACCTTTGGAGTGGAAGCTGAGTCTCCAGGAGTTGCCTGAGGAGGCCAGTGGGGAAGGCTCAGGTAAGCAGCCGGACAGATCTGGCCTTGGACAGCTGCATGGATGGTTAGAAAATATACGGCTCTTTTCAAGTAAGAAAAACCCGCAGGGATGCACAGATGAAGCGGAAATTGAGATGGAGATGGGGAGAACAATAACACTGGTAGTGAAACAAAAGGTTAGGAGAGGTGGCAGGAGTATAAAGGATTAGGGAGAAGGCCAGAGGTTTGGCCTCTATGATGGTCATTTGCCATCTTGTCTGAACATTCCAAGGATTTCAAAACTATTGAAGCCTGGCTTTTTCCCACAAAAGTTCTGATTTAATTGCTATGAGGTGTGGCTTGGACACTGGAATTTTAAAAATCTTCCCACAAACGATTGAAATATGCAGCCAAATTTAAGAACCTCTGGGAAATAATCAAACAGGAGCAGAGAGACCTTTAGCAGCAAAGCCCAAGAAGAGAAAGTCAGAAGGAGGAGTGGGTTAGGAATTTAAAGTAGATGCACATAATGGAAAACAAATAGTAAGACACAAGTGAAATGAGAAGAGGCGTGTACATGGGGCCTGGAACGATGCTGATCCTTTTAAGGGCATCATAGCTTACAGGTGAAGCCTGGACAATTGGTGTTGTATAAAGCATGCAGCAAGCTATGACTTGCAATACAGAGCAAACATCACACTTAGCAAATACTGGAAATGGCTGTAGGTAGTGAGGAGACTTAGATAAAGAAAATGAACTCTTAGAGTACCAGTCCTGTGATGATTGTGTTCACCCCATAGTTCAGGGACGTACAATCCTATATACCTCACTTTCAGCCTGCTGTGATCAACTGGAAAAGTTTGTTCCCACTCTGGTTCCCCAGTCCTTCATCAGCTTCTGGAAACTTATCTACACATTGACATCTATGTGATATCCAATATTAACAGTAGTAAAAGATGGAAAAATTAATTTGGTTCCTTTACCTCCTCTGTATTATTCCCAGATACACATTCTGGATATTGAATCTTAGTTACTCTTGCTAGTGTTTTATATTCTGTATGTCAGTAATATTGTCCAGTCCTGCTAACAGTAGTGTCATGGCCGACCATCAAAAGACAAACTGGGATTCTTTCCGTAAGCAGATTGGCAGTCAGGATTAACAATCTCTACCAAGTTTACCATTTGATCTAAAAATTCCACTAATTGGATTCTGTTTTGAAGAAATAATTTAAATTCAGAAAAACATCTGCATACATAAGGGCATTATTTATATTGGTAAAAAAATCAACAGTATTATTAAATGAAAAATTGTGATTCAAAATCCAGATATATATGCATATATATGCATGATATATGATATATATATGATATATATGCATGATAATAAATGTTATTAAGTTATGGAGAAAAATGAGTAAAATAATACCAACTGCACAATAATATGTAAGGGAAAAGGCTGAACAGAAATAAATAGAAGTTGTAATAAAGCACTGTCTCAGGATAATGAATTAATGAATGACTTTTATCTTGTTATTTTTGCGTATATCTCAGTTTCTTATTATGAACATATATTATCTTTAGAATGGAGAAAAAATAATATAAACTCAGAGGTTGCAAGCCACTAATGACACCCAGCCTGCACTTCTCTTGTTCCTTCCAGGTGACTCTGAACCTCTTGAACAGCAGAAGCAACAGATCATTAATGAGGAAGGCACAGAGCTGTTCTCCTACAAAGGCAATGATGTGGAGTATTTCATCTCTTCTAGCTCTCCATCTGGCTTATATCAACTGGAACTTCTTTCAACAGAGAAAGACACACATTTCAAAGTATATGCCACCACTACTCCAGAGTCAGATCAGCCATATCCTGAATTACCATATGACCCCAGAGTAGATGTGATTTCCCTGGGACGCACCACGGTCACTTTGGCCTGGAAACCGAGCCCCACAGCCTCTTTGCTGAAACAACCCGTCCAGTACTGTGTGGTTATCAACAGAGAACACAACTTTAAAAGTCTCTGTGCAGTGGATGCAAAGCTGAGTGCAGATGATGCTTTCATGATGGCCCCAAAACCTGGTCTAGATTTCAGCCCCTTTGACTTTGCCCATTTTGGATTTCCTTCAGATAATCTGGGTAAAGAACGCAGCTACCTGGCAAAGCCTTCTCCAAAACTGGGGCGCCATGTCTACTCAAGGCCCAAGGTTGACATTCAGCAGATATGCATAGGAAACAAGAACATCTTCACCGTTTCTGATCTGAAACCCGACACACAGTACTATTTTGACATCTTCATAGTCAACACCAACAGCAACACGAGCACTGCTTATGTGGGTACCTTTGCCAGGACCAAGGAAGAAGCAAAACAGAAGACTGTGGAGCTCAAAGATGGGAAAGTGACAGATGTATTTGTTAAAAGAAAGGGAGCAAAGTTTCTACGGTTTGCTCCGGTATCTTCTCACCAAAAAGTAACCATCTTTATTCACTCTTGCCTGGATGCCATCCAAATCCAAGTGAGAAGAGACGGGAAACTTCTTCTGTCTCAGAACGTGGAAGGCATTCGGCAGTTTCAGCTGAGAGGAAAACCTAAAGCAAAGTATCTCATTCGACTGAAAGGAAACAAGAAAGGAGCATCTATATTGAAAATTCTAGCCACCACCAGGCCTAGTAAGCAGTCATTTCCCTCTCTTCCTGAAGATACGAGAATCAAAGCCTTCGACAAACTCCGAACCTGTTCTTCAGCCACAGTGGCCTGGCTGGGCACCCAGGAGAGGAACAAGTTCTGCATCTACAAAAAAGAAGTAGATGATAACTACAACGAAGACCAGAAAAAAAGAGAGCAAAACCAATGCCTTGGGCCAGATACAAGGAAGAAATCTGAAAAGGTCCTCTGTAAATATTTTCACAGCCAGAACCTGCAGAAAGCAGTGACTACAGAAACCATTAAAGCTCTCCAGCCCGGAAAATCTTACCTGTTGGATGTTTATGTCATAGGACATGGGGGACACTCAGTGAAGTATCAGAGTAAAATTGTGAAAACAAGGAAGTTCTGTTAGTCACCTGGTGTAGAGATATATAACATAGAACTCCAGGAAGGATTTTAAATCCCTTTACCTTTAGACTGACCACTCCCACAGCTGAGAGAAGTTGTGACCTGTACAAGTTGTGAGCTATGAAAGGAAGGGTATCAGCATGTATATATTGATGTTTATAAAACTTGGAGGAAACTTGTTCTAGTGTGCCCCTGTGGTACCTAGTGTGTGTCTGATGCTGTTGATGTCAAAGATAGAGGACATCTTGAAGGAAATGCCATCCCTTGCTTTGACCACTGCATGAACTGCTTCTAAATTATTTTATTACCTAAAAATTTAAACTATGCCATTCATTGCACACATCCACAAATGCAAAACATTCCTTTCTATAGATGCTAGGTTATATATAAATTATTTTATAAAGTCTTGTTTTAAATGTCCTTGTATCTATGATTGTAAACTATTAAATTCTTTTCCTGCTAAAGTACAGATCTAATCTAAGTATTAATAAGTGGACATCCCTCTAGTCAGTTATATTGCTGTTGTAAATTCTTATTTGTTGAGTAAAATGTTTAAATACTATATGTATCTCATGTACAAAGTTGACGTGCATTATATTCATGTACATAAAATTAAAGAAATTAGATTATATACTGTTCATTTTCCCAAGCAGCTACCTTGGTGTATTTAATTTCTAATCTGTCCCTAAAACTGTACCTTTTATGTAATTTGGCACCAAAATCGACCTTTTTTAATAGTTACAAGGAACTGCTATGTCTCTGTAGTTACTATGGTATTAGAAACAATTACTGATGTGTATATTTTGGCATTAAATAGGACCCAGCAGCAGTGAGAGTTGAGAGAGCTATAATAGTATTGATTTAAAAGAGGAGGACAAGCCAAATGGTTGTCAAATCATCCTTAAGAACCTGAACTATAACACATTTTAAGAATTTAAGTACAAAGTTAAGATATTTCAAGTATTTCCATCTGCTAGAATACTAGAAAAATAAGTATTTTAACCTCCAGCAGAAGCAACTTAGCAAATACCATTCAGGACTTTAGTAATAAGTAAGAGCTACTGTCTTCTACTAGCACTGGTCTGCAGCTCTTAAAATTTTTATGAATTTTTAAAAGTAATTTTGGTGCAAAATGCAATTTAGGTAAGAGATAACTGAAATGATCAGAAACTACAGAAAGGGTAGTGTTAAGGAGTTTAACATAGATTATGAGATGTCATGAGATCACTGGACCATGATTCAGAAATGTCTGGAAATTCCAATCACTTAAAATAATATATCTTTGGAAAAATGTATTCCTTCTAAACAGCTCCTTTTCCCATCTATAAACTCAAGAAGTAATAGATTTGGTAAGACGACATTGTTAGATGCCTTCAGTCATCAGTTGTTCTCTTTTGGAGGAATTCTATGACTATAAATTACAAAATTCTGTGAATACAAGTGGGGACTGGGTAATTTGTTTATCTCTACATTACCCCCTGTGTGGTGCCACTACCTTTAAGATAAGAGTGTTCATGAGTGGCATTCCCATGGAGTTCAGAATTGCTCCCACTAAAGCAGTGTAAGTGATCCTTAGAAAATATGCTCTGTTCACATTGGGGGGAAACTATCCCCCTTAGAGCATGTCTTCCAACTCCTCAGTATTAAGATATTCAAATGAAATTGACCACATCTGTGCAGGAATGACATCCAAAAGAATGTTTTAAAGATAAAGAAAACATACCCGATGGTCATGTAAGCAACCACCTTAGGAGAGACTTTAATCTTAAATTATAAGCGTGGTGACTTAGAAGGACAATTAACTTTGTTATATGATATGCATATGTATTAGTTTATAGAGAAATGTGTTAGATGAGACTATAATGAATCAGAGAGTCATTACTGCTTCTCAAGGTGATGGACTTAACTCTCAGATATTGCTTAATGCCCAGAAAACCCTGGGAACCAGGCCAAGTCAATTTAATCAAGCCTTCACTTTTCAGCCAGCTGTGATGGTGGTTTATAAATAGTCTGGATAAATCTGAGAATTCTTTCATGGTCCTAGTGAAATTTGCCTTTTTAATAACTACAGGAAAATGAAATACACATTTTTGAAACCAGTATTATTCACAAAAAAGGAAAATCTATTATAACTAAGTTCTCATATTTGCTGATGTGCTTAGATTTTAGGAGCATTAAGGTAAATAGGAACAAGGAAGAAAAACTTGTTATTAATTGACAAAAGAAATAGAAACTAGCAAAAAGGAAAGGACAACTTTGTCTGCTACGTTAAGCTCCAGGAAAGCGATATGCTTATACAGGTCATTTACAATCACAAATACAGTCGCATACATTGAGGAAGGAGTCTTCAAGGACATTTAGTTCACTATCTTTACTTTTCAAGGGCAAAAGGGAAATTAAACACCAGAAATACAGATTAATAAATTAAGAATTTCTCATAGACAAAATAGCTAAGTAATGGCATTGTTTAGACTCCAGAATTCTAACCAGAATACAAATCTCCAATTCTTGACGTAAAAAATCATCTGTAGATCATTTTCCAAAAAGAAATGGATAGTTTAATGATTTTAAAGCAATTTATACTTCAAAGCCATTTCAGATTTCCTTAAGAATGTATGCATTGCACAGTTTTAATCCCAGCAGTCTGGAAGGCTAGGACAGGAGGATCACAAGTTCAAACCTAGTATGGGCAACTTAGTCACTTAAGGAAACCCTATCTCAAAAACAAAAATAACAACAACAGGGATAAAACTTAATAGTAAGTCCCTGGGTTCAATCCCTTGTACCACAAAACAAAACAATACATGTATTACCTATAACTGACCACTTCAAACCACAAATTTATAAGAAAAAAAAAGTTCTGGTCATTTTGTTAGTTTTGAAGACAAAGTATATCTAGATATATCAAAGTAAGTCTAGGTTTGTATGCACACACACTTGAGACTTAAGATCATCAGTCTACTCCTTTAATTATAAACTCTACCTTTTGAAAATCTAAAACATTTCAGGGCCGGGGTTTAGCTCAGTGGTTTGGTGGCCTGCCTTGCAAGCACAAAGACCCAAGTTCAATCCCCAGTATCAAAAAAAAAAAAAAAAAAATTAAAACATTTCAGAATTCATAAAGAATTCTGATTTTGGGGGTTAAATTAGTTACGTTATAGTCAATGCCTGGATTGAATTTTAAAATAATTATTCAGGGATTAGTTCTGAAAAGGACTTATCCGCTCTTGATTTTTATTACTCAGAACACATTTGAAAATACTAAAATTTCACTGTCCTGACCAGACAAATGACAACACTTCAAGTTTTAGAAATTAATGCTGACAAATTTTAGCATTTGAAAAAAGCTTGATTCATAATGGTTTTTGAGGGTGCAGACATCCTTCAATGAAACCACACACTCAGACACAATTTGGTACACATTTCACACACTTGAGATTGGTCCAGAAGCTTTTCTCATACCTTACTAGCCCCTTCCACCGGTCTTGTAGTTCTGTGATGTCACTTTACAGATGAGGGAATTGAGGCCCAATTAAGATTAGGAGCTAGATTCCTTTATTCCCAGTTAGGATTCACTCTGGTCTTCCCTTCAGCACATTTTCACTCCGAAAATGTCGCAACAACTTGTCCAGAGTGTTTGCTACGTCTCTATGCACTAGCTGGTTGGAAGCAAAACAAAACAAAAACTAGCATGCGACTTAAACAGCAAGGTCATCTGGAGCATCTCCAGCCACTCCCTTCCACAATTCAATGTGGTGCAACAGAGATGAAATCGGCTGGGAACTGGCCTTTTGCCTCTCTCCCCAGGACCACACAGAGTGACCACTGCCAAGCGTCGGCTGTTCTCCATTGAGAGTTGTCCATGGGACCTGGGAGACATCAGGGCGCACTCACCAATGGATTTTCTCTGGAGGGTTTGAGCCAAAAAAAAAAAAAAAAAGTGCACTGTGATGGGGGATTTGAGTCTTTGTTGTTGTTTTGAATGTGGGAAATGGAAGAAATGAGAACAGAGAGAGGAAGCACTTTGTGGAAAGAAGTATAGTTTTATCTCGTTTCTCCTCCTAGGAAGTTTGAGAGATCAAGAGAAGCAAGAGATCTAATAGAGCCTTACTTCATTAAGGTTTTGGATTCTCTCCTCAATGCATCTTACCCTGGAAATTATGACCTAAATCGTTATGCTCTCTTTTAAAACTATATCTCACTGATAGATACTTCATTTCCTAGGAGTGGTTGAGCATTCATCTGGACATGATTTCCTTCATTTCTCTTTACACTTTTCTCCAACCATGAGAAATAATAAATAAATAATAATAATAATTGAAATTTAAAGTGGCTTTTCAGATCCATCCATCTAACACTTTGAAATGTATCTTAAAATATTCTTCCAAAGAGTAAAAGAAATATAAGGTGATTGATCTCCATCATAGAAAAATAAGTGGTCCTAGATTGAAAATTTCAAGGTCATAGGCATGGTGACATTGTTGTAAGATCCTAATAGAAACCAGCCATTCCAGGGTTGGGGTCATGAGAGGACCCCAGGTCCTTGTAAAAGATCCATTAAAAACAGAACTAAGACTAAAGTAGCAGAATGGAACTCATCGTTGTACTATGCCACAGAGAAAAACTTTCAGGAAAGTGGAAGGTTTTCTCAAAGCTTTTTAGAAACATATATTAGAGACTGTGAACCAGGGACTGGCACATCAAACAACCTTGCAGGATCCAGCCACCTCCTGGGATGCTTCAGAAGTGGGGATATTTTTGAAAGAAAACAAAGGTGTGAAATAGAAAAGGCAGAGAAGAGCAATCTGGTTATAGGTGATAAAGTTTGGTTAGAACACTGGAAAATATAACCACCACACAATCAAGAGATGTAATGGATGCTGGTTTTATTTATTGACATAAAACTGCTAGGTTTAAGCAGCAGTTTCTCTTCTCCCATAAATACCTACCAAGATTAATATCCAGTCAAGTCTTATGTTTTGGAAATAAGCAAATATCCATTTCTTGTTTATAATTACCTCTTGGTATAATCTTTCCAACTTTATAAATGGGGCAGCACAGAGTAATCTTATAGTTCTTTGGGGATATGTTTGAAATGTCCATTTTTAATTATACATCTGAATTTTGCTTCTGAGAAAAACTGTGTAACGAACAAAACCAAATACATTAGCAGGAGAGGCTTGGCTCTTTAGACTCTTCTCTTACACAATGTCCTCTGGCCTCTTATGTGTTATTTAACATATTAGCTACCTTCAGCACACTGGCTAGAAAAGCTCCACAATATAAAGTAAACAAGTCATTTATAGGAGCAGCACTTCAGCCCCAGAACCATGGGTGGGTCTCTCACAGGCCTTTGCATTTTGCAGGCCTTTGTAGATCCATACAGCTCTGCTCTCTGAGAGACTCAGGAAGAACGTAACTAGCATAGATGAGAAAGTGTCCTTTTCCCAGTGGTTGAATTTCCAAGCATCACAGCAACTACAAGAAGCCTTAGCGACATTTAGTATCTCCTGCTTTTTCTGGATATAGTAAGAACTTTAAATGAGAGAGACAAGTAAGTATACATACAATTTTTACATAACCAAATAAAGCAACTTGTTTTATTATGGTAGAATATCATCTTAGGAACATGTTATTAAAGAAATAAGACTCTTTTGGTTGACCATTTCAAAATGTTAGCATTGAGTATCTCTTTCTTGACAAATAAAGCTTGTCATCCTCTTCAGATAAAGAGGTCACACTGTAAATTACAGGTTTTTTAATTTTGCCTCCTCTCATCCTGTTCATGATCATGGGCTCCCTTAGATTGTCTCTGCATGATCTTCAGGCTTGGAAAAAGATGACAGAGATATGGAAGCTGGGTGACAATCACACTTTCATTTCCACTGCATCTCATACAAGTCCCATTGACTAATAGCAGTGAGCTGTGCCTCAAATGCAACTGTGTGCTGAGTAAACTTGACTGCTCTAAATACCAAAGGCCAGTTCTTTTGCCAATTACATGAGCAACCATTCCAGGAGGCCTGGGTTGAAATGTGCAGATAAATAGTTCTAGAGTTTTTGATGCCAAAGCATACAGAATACTTATGTTCTGCTATGGAAAGCTTGGACGAACAGAATTTCTGTTTTTAATATCTTTGAGGACTTAAATAGTTCTTAGACTACTTACTACCTTTCATAAAACTCACTGCTACTTTAAAAGTCTCTTGGTGGCTTACCTATATTAAAAAGTGGAAAAGAATATATTTGGATTCCACTGAGTTTTCTCTACTGAAGTTATGCAAGCTAATAAGAGAAAGGACGGCAGTGGAAAGGGTGTAGAAATAGTTGTTTTGTTTTTTTTTTAAACTTCTGTGGACTTAGTCTTTCTCATTTGTAAAATGAGAAGAGTGGTGATCTCTAAATTTCATTTTGGAAAAACCAGGGAACCTAACAACGTTAAGCACATCCTGAATGCTAAGCATTTGAAATACAGCCATTTAATCCTGACAATAATGCTCACGTGAGGATATTATTATAGTCTCAGTGACCAGACCAGAGAATAAAGAAATTATATAATATATTCAAAGTCACAAAGTTAATATGGGAACTGGAACTTAGATACATCTGGCTCCAAATACACTCATCTTTCTAAGTCTACCAGTGTAGTTCTGAACTCTAGTGCTTATTAGTGAACCAGAACTCACTAGAATAGAATACATGAGGAGCAGAATGATAAAAATAGGGGAAAGTTTAAGTTCACTCAGGCTTGGCTTGGACATTTGTAAACAGTCTTTAAAATGGATACAGAGGGCCTGGGATTTAGCTCTATGGTGCCACCGCCTGCCTTGAAAGCTCAAGATCCTGAATTCAATCCCCAGCACCAAAACTAAACTAAACTAAACTAAAACTAAATAAATAAAATGGATATAGAGAACTAGAGACAGAAGAAAAATAATTGACAAAGTATGCTAAGTTCCTCTTAATGTGTGTAATTTTCCCATCCTAGTTCTGTATTACGATTTATACTACCATAATAGCTTTGTTTGGTATTTGCTGATAGTATTATCTAGAATTTGCTATATGATTCCATAAGACACTATGTATCTGAAATGTGTTGTTAATAAACCTCTATTTAATCCTTTGGTGTTTTAGCATATATGATTGTCTTTGTTTTTGTTTATGTTTTGTCCTTGAGCATATTTGTCTTTCTTTTGCCCTGATTGTTTTGAAATAACAGATATTTGGGGAGTCTAGACTACACACCAAGCTCTGAGTTGAGAGTTAGATCATGAACCAAGGCATCATATCATTAATCTACATAGCCACCTTATGGGGTAGATACTATTATTTTCCACATTTTGCTGATGAAGAAACTAAGGATCAGAGTCCCCCAATTTCACACCACTAATAAGAATTACAGCCCTGAGTCAAATCCTATGATGGGTTATAAAGCATGACTTTCATTCACTTTCTTTGGAAAAGATACTCTGACTGCTTTCCATGAAATTCACTAACACATATCTACTTTTAGTATTTATTAAACTTGGTCTTCTTCTACATAGGATTTGCTTTGATGCCACACTGAGTATTTGCTAATGGTATTCTGATTTGTGGTGATACACCTTTGATTTCACATAAATTCTTGCTTATACACTTGGCATTTAAGAAGCTCACACATGACCAGTACTTGAATTCCAGATTGA